CCCCCTGCCTGCCCGCGCCGCCCGCCACACCCGGGCCCGTGCCAGGCTTCCACCCCCGCCCCGCTGCCCAAGGAGGCGGACTCCCCGGCAGCTCCGGCTCTCTGCAGGCAGGGTGGAGGAGGCCGGCCCGCTCAGCACTGCCGAGTCCCTGCCCCTCCGCCCCGCGCGAGGTTGGTCCTCCCGGACAGCTCCCGTTCCCGCCGGTCTCCTCATCACAGCCTCCAGCCCACCCGCAGCTCTGCTTCCGGGAGTCCTGCGTCCAGGCCGACTCTCCTGGCCTCCCCGCCGCCCCCGCCCTGGGACCCCCGCCTTCCGGGCGGCCCCATCGGCCTCTTCCTTCGGCCCACCTTAGTTCCGTCCCGCTACAACACCGTCCCCTCTCTCTTGCGGGAGACTTTCTCCCGCAGCCGGTGCTCAGTGCAAATCCAAGCGACTTCCTCCTCACGGCCCAGCCAGGCTTCTAGACAAGAATCTGGACACCACACTGGCAGTCAGCGTACCCGTCCGCTCTGCAGCCCACAGCGGTCATGCACCCTCGGGACAGCAGGAGGCAGGGACAACTGTCCTGCCAGACAGGCTCTGTTCCCCACCCCCCGGCGTCTCCCTCCCTCAGTCGCTTTCCACAGACGGTTCTGGCAACGTCCAGCTCTCCCTCCTCCCTGGGCAGCTCCTGCGAGCTCTCTTCACGCAGGGCGCCTTCCATTCTGCTGCTCACCAGGTCTCGATGGTCGCCCAGTGTCTGAGTGTGTTTTCCGCCCAACCTGATGGCGTCCATTCTTACAAAGCATAGCCTTTTCTGGAATAACTGTGGTCAGGGCAGGCGCCGCCGCGGGCTTTGCATGGCGACACAGGACAGGCCGTGGACAGACAGCCCTGAGTGGACGGCGGAGGGGCTCGACTCCCGCTTTCACGAGCTGCCCCCTTCCCTGACAGTTCCAGCGCCCGAACTACCCTGCCCTCAGGTCAGCAGCCAGCCGGCAGCGAGTTCAGGCGGGGCTCAGCGCCATCCTTCCCAGGTGTCCTCGAGTCAGCTTAGCGACCAGGACCTCCTGCCCCTGCCGTGGCTTCTCCTTCCTGTGGTGCCCCCCACACCAGGCGTCGCTGACCAAGACACGCAAGACGGGGTCGAGATGGCTTTTGATTCTCCCCAGCGGCCTTCCCTCCGTGCCTGGCGTATGCCCCTCCACAGATTCAGACATGTAACGACTGAGGCCGGCTTGGACTCTGACAAGTGCCTGAATTTTCCCAGCCACCCATCCCGGTGCCACTGCCTGGCCTGCCCTGTCTTCAGCTCTGGTCTGGGGTGGCACAGCTCTCTGGACATCTCGCCAAGCCCCTCACGACCATCCGCCCTCAGCCTCTTCCTCCTCCAGGACCCCGGGACTCTGCCGACTCCAGCCTCCTGGAAACGCCGGAGCTTCCCAGTTGTCTCAGTGGGCCTTCCGGGCTTCACACCGACTTCCCCGCCAAGCCAAAGCCGCCCACCCTCACCCACTCGGCAGGGGCGTGTCATTCCTGCCAGGGAAGTGCACGAGACTTCAGGGCGTGCAGCTTCCACCGCCCTGGGCGACTGCCCCTCTCCGCCCTCTCTGGCGTCATGGCACCGTGAAGGTGACACGGAACACGAGCATTCTGTGCATTCGCAGATGATCTCTCTCCTGCCCTTTCCCTCTGACGGCAAGCCCCTTGGGGTCAAGGTTCAAGCTCACATGCAAATCTCGAGACTGAGGACAGTGCTCAATAGCACCGTGGGCGTTGGTACAGGTGGAAATAAGGTAAATGTCAGCAAAAAGTCCAGGCATTCGAATCCAGGGGGCCGCTCTCCTCGATTAAAAACAGCCACTTGCTGTACGCGTGCAGCTGGGCGCCTTCCTCATGATAATGCCGACTGAGCTACGAAGGCGCAGACGGCAACAGTGACAGAAACGACCATCTAAGAACACGCACACACAGGGGCACAGTTCAAGTAAGAGTCTGGGAAATCGGACGAATGAGATACAAACAGGCTGGTGCATCCCAGTACTTTCCATGCAAGGGAGCTCCTCCTCTCCAGACTAACGCTCCAGTCTTAACTTGTTAGTCGGAAACTTTTTTACGACGTAAAATACAACTTACCAACTTCCTGAAGATCAGTTTTAAATTTGCTTTACATTTAAGAATCCCAGCCCTCTGCTCTAATGCTTCATGTAACAAAATCTCCCCGGGTTGGTAAGATGTTCTCTCAAAGAGTCCTCCCTGCTTTAGGAGCAGCCTGCTGACAAGCAAGAAACAGGTCCAGACTCTCTGGCCAGGTGCAAGCCTCCTCACTGGTACCGCCAGGTACTACTTGGGAATCACTGCTCGGAGCCTGGCCACCCTGAGCCAGAAGTTCAGAGCCAGGTCAACGTTGCCGATAAGAACAAGCTCGTGAGTTTTTCAAACTCTGGACTGTGGTGATGTCGCCAAGGACCTGGTGGTCACACCACAGAGGCGTCTGTCCGAAACACACAGGCTCACTTACACTGGGCCCCGGAGTCCCCACCTGGGCTGAGAGTCTGGGCTTCAGCCCCAGGACTCCGTGGAAGCGTCCGCCGCGTGGAAAGGAAGTCGGCGAACGACCAGAGGTCCCAGTCACAGAAGAGGACACTGATGCCAAGACTATGGAGAGGCAGCTTCCCAGGCTCCACGCCCTCTCCCCCTTCCCGCTGCCTCCACCTGCCATCCTCCCCTTCTTCCAAAGGGTTTCTTCCCCTTCGTCTGCTCTTAGGGTCCACCCCCAACCCTGACACACGTCCGCCGACTACAGTAGGGCAGGTGTCCTCGTGGCACGAAACACCACGAACACACGCGAACAGCAGGGCACTCGCGGCATCACGCCGCACTCACGCCTGCCTGAGAGTCTGGGCAAGGAGACGTCTGGGATTCCCCCCACGTCCATGCTGGCTTTCCTGTCAGGCTCGAGCCCGGTTTTCGGAAACGAGCATGCGCTCACACCTCCGTTCCAGAATTCCCACCCACTTCGACAGGCGACGGCCTGGCTTCCCTTCCGACGATGCACCAGACACGCTTCTTCTGGTGCCACACGCACGTGACCCACGACAGAACCCTTCCTTTCCCCGGGTTGGCACCCAGCTCTCAGATGCTGGCCAACGCCCCCCTCGGCTGGCCGCTTGGGCACGCCGTACCTTGGACGAGGTGTGTCTTTGCAGCCGGAGGGTCTCGCCGTGCGGCCCTGCCCCCACGGCCCTTCCCGTCGCCCGGCGGCTCCTGCACGTCTCTGAGGTCACCGGGAGGCACTCTCGCATCGGCCACCTGCCTCCCGTCCAGCGCGTCTCTCCCCTTGTAGCTGCCTCCTTTTCTGTCTGACGATCTGTCCGTTCTCGCCTCCATGGAAGGGAGCTTGGGCAGCATGACAGGCCGCACCTCCAGCTGTGCCTTGGACGGGGCGGTGGGTGACTTGATGGCGGGCGGGGGCACCGGGGGAGGCGGGAGGTCTGGAAAGAAATATTGGAGAGACTGTGAGAGTCACAAAGGGGACGCTCACCGCTCTTGGGAGTGTCACCGGAGTCACCTTCTGCTGAGAGACACCCGGCCTCCCACGGACCGGAACCTCGGAAGGCCGCCAGGGAGGGGCCCCGTGCCCATGGCCTCTTGTCGCCCGGCACAGAGCTGCCGAGGGGCAGAGCCGGGGCTGAGCGCCCGTCTCCTGGGGCAGCTGACACGGGGCAGGCGTCCCTAGCTCTCCTGCCTGGCTGCGGCAGCGCGCTCAATCTAGCCTGATGCCGCTGGTCCCCGAGGCAGCCCTTCACCCTTTCAGGCCTGCCTGCCATCTCTGACCTAGCCTAAATCCCGTCTCACTCTGAAGATAAGGAAGCCAGACATGCACGCCTGAAGCTACGGCCCAGCCTCCAAGCTAGATCCCCCGGGCCCCAGGAGCGGCCAGCGGGCCAGGGTCCTTCATGCTGCTGCATTCGACTGTGTCTGTCCCCACCGTTCATGGACAGGAGCTCGCCGCTCTGGATGTGTGAGAGGGTGTGGTTTTAAAACGACTCCTGTATACACTCCAGGGAGGAAAGAAGGAAGTGCCCTCGTAACATTTGGCAAGTCCGTAGAAGAATGTGAACAGATGCCAGGTGTGGGTTGCTCTGGCCGTGGTAGAGGGCTGCATTAAAAGGAAAAGCTTCAGTTCAGGAGGTCGAGAGGTTACGGTAATAGCCAGTAATAGACAACAGTGAACAGACAGTGATAACAATAATCACTATGTAGCAGCTCTCAGAACTAATGCCAGGGAGGGGATGGAGGGGTGCCCCTTCAGAGGGAGAGCAGACGATGTGTGTGAGGCAGAAGAAGAAAGAAAACCAGGGCTATCTCACGACCGCGGAGGACGCAGAGGGGAGGAGGAATGTGGGCTGGCGTGCGGGTGTCCGCTGCACTGCCAGCGAGCGAGAGGGCCACGCTGGAGGGGCGGGATGAGGAGCCGGGGGAGGGACACAGTTTCGAAAGCTCATGGGGGGCCGGTGTCGCCCCAGACGGGGACGCCCGGCAGGGAGCTGCAGGCAAAAGCCGAACGTCAGGACAGCCCAAGCCAGACACAGACTTGGAATGGTCGGCGTGGCCACATTTCCAGTCACGGTGACATTCCTGCATTTGGAGAGTGTCGGCTGCAAAGCATTCGTGAAACATCTGTCCAATGCTTAGCAGCATGCCATACGCCTTGGGATTTTAAGCAAACAAATACACATTTACTGTTTACATGGCTAGAAACCCGGGTAGCCCCCACTGTACCTCTCTTTCTGGAAGCTTGCGAGACGTTCTGCCCCGTGAACACACCACTGCCGACTGAGCCAACCCCCGTAAGGAGTACCCGGTCGTTTCCAGGTGTTTGACCATTCCTGTCAGGGGCCACTGACCTGCTCACACACCCCAGCACGAGAGGCTCCTACACGGCAGAGCTGTGTGTTTGAAGACTGACTTTGTCACCTGGAGCTTCTCACTCGTAGGTACCGACGTTTGAAGCAAATGACGCCTTTGCCTGGCTCCATGAACAGGTCTGCACTTGTGGAGACTCAGCTGCCTTGGTCACGATGCGCTCAGGCCGAGAGCACTCCATCGTGAGTCTCCGCCGGCCACAAGCCCCAGGCTCCAACCTTCCGCAGCGGCGCCACTGGGTGCCCCTGCAGGGGACGGTCCCACGCAGCTGGCGCTTTCGCCTGTGGCTCCATGGCCTCCCGTGTTCTAGTTCCTGCCACTCCACACTGTGGCTAGAGGGGGCCCTGCCCCCCCAGAGCTAAGTCGCCCGATTCTACAGAGTCAGGCTTTCTGACCCGCAGCTCGATCGCCACCGTCACTACTGCACGGCCATCCACCTCTGCCCACGACTTGACTAGACTTCCCGAAAGCAACGCATGAGCATTGTGTCTCCCCTCATCGGCTGCTTATTTGTGAAAGAGACGCAAAGAGAGAGAGCTCGGAAACAGGTTGTCCGGAGCAGCCCAAGGCAACAGACCCAGGCGGCGCGACTCTATGATCAGACGGGGCCACGACTGTCCGCATGGGGAGGAGGAACGTCTAATTCAGAACGCAGCAGGAGGCAGGGGCATGCATGGCCGCAGCCTTGGTTCTGCACCGCCCGCCTGAGATAAATCGGGACTGGATTATCAGGAAGCCGATGGCTGCCACTGTCATCAAATCACAACATGTCCAGGCTCATCCGCTATCAAGGCTGGCGCCTGCCACTGTCACAAGACCAAAGCCTTGGGAATGGGGGACTCTGCAGACAGAAGCCATCACCAACGTTCGGGACAGGCACACCTGCAACAACAGCGAACAGGAGAAGAGACCAACGGCCAATGAGGGTTCTCACTGCCAGTACACGAGTGTCACGGTACCTGACTGACAGTTAGAGAGAAATGCTGGCCGGCTTGCCGTCTGTATCAACAGATTGCCAAACAATTCTCTCTTGGGTATGATAAAATCATCACGCAGCCCAACCAGGGGTGGTTATCACACGGCGAGGGATTCTGCATTTCACAGAGTGTGATAAGTAGCGGCACAAATGGGAGTTCACAAATGGGAGTTAACAAACGGGAAGGTGGACATGCTTTGCGCGCACACACACGCACACACACACACACACGCTATATCATCATGTAAGCACTCACTGGTTCTATAAGACTTTCCAAATAACGGTACAATGTGTGTAAAGCGACTATAAGAGCACGCGCACTCAGACAGCACGACCAGCATTAACTCACTGCGACAATCCAGTCCTCTATTTACTGAACGGCTTAAAGTCCCAACACTTGTAATTAATGATAAATCAAGTCAAAGTAACACTGTTCCAGAGGGTGGTCAACTTACAATTTATGAAAAGTAGGCCGGAGAAAGCCCGTGATTTGGCTGTTAAATCGCCTCCGTGAATGCACTGCGAAGGCTGGAAAGGGGGGGTGGGACGATCTGTTAGAAGGCCCCGGGAACGCACTCGGCTTGGCTCTGAGTCGGTCAGACTCTGCAAATAAATATTCACACACAGCGGTCCTGTCCTGGGCAAAAGAGTGGCAGATGTGAAGTGAACAGACACCTACCCTGCCGTCAGCGTGACCACGCACGGGCGCTCTGCATGGCCTGCGGAGGCTGAGTGCTCCCGAGGCTCTGGACTCAGCCACGGCGGGAGGTGTGGCCACGCACCCTGCGTGAGGGCGGTGGCTGTCGTGGGCTGAACTGTGTCCCCTCAAAAGTCACATGTCAGCCGGGCTCGGTGGCTCAGCCTGTAATCCGCGCCTTTGGGAGGCTGAGGTGAGCGAATTGCCTGAGCCCGTGGGTTCGAGCCCCGCCTGGGCAGCAAGACCTCATCTCTACAATAAATCAAAAAATCAGCTGGGCGTGGTAGCGCGCGCCTGTAATTCCGGCTCCTCGGAAGGCTGAGGCGGAAGGATCGCCGGAGCCCAGCAGGTCGAGGCTGCGGTGGCCGGGAGCGGCCACTGCACTCCAGTCTGGGCGACAGAGTGAGACTCCAACTCAAAAAAAAAAAAAAAAAAAAGTCACGTGTCTCAGTCCTAGTCCCCAGGACCTCCGCATGTGCCCGTCCCTGGAGCTTTTAAAGAGGCAAGGAAGTTAAAACGAGGTCATGAGGGTGGGCCCCCAGCCGGTGTGATCATGTCCTTGTAAGAGGAGATTAGAACACACGCACACTGAGGGCAGATGGTGCAAAGCCACGGAGGGACACGGCCGCCAACAGGCCACAGAGAGAGGCAGAGGCAGGCAACCCTGCTGACAACCTTGACCATGGACTTCTGCCCCCAGAGCTGTGATGAACACCCTACTACTGCTTCTTTTTGTTTGTTTGAGTTGGAGTCTCACTCTGTCGCCCAGACTGGAGTGCAGTGGCCGCTCC